GCATATAAATATCTTCGACAACTAAGAGAAGGATACAAACCCCGAACAAGTCTGTGAAGAAACCAAACAGATAAGATAATTAGTGAACCAACGCAAATAAAATCAGTTTGGAAAAGCCATTTCCAAGCTCTGCTAGAAGCACAAGGAAGCTCACGATCTTCGGATACGCGGCACATCGAGGAAGGAGACGAAGAAATAAGCAGCCCGACTCTTAAAGAAGTCAAACAAGCAATACAGGCGCAAAGAAACAACAAAGCGCCGGGATTTGACGATGTCCCTTCCGAAATGTATGAATTAGGTGGCGAACATCTAACAACGCAGATGCACGCGCTCATATCTAAGGTATGGAGGGAAGAAAAAATTCCTAGCGATTGGAAAAATGGGATTATCTGCCCAATCTACAAAAAAGGGGACAAACTTAAATGCGAAAATTACCGCGGCATAACCCTCCTATGTTCGGCCTACAAAATTTTTACATCCATCCTGAATAGGCGACTTCAACCATTATGTGAAAATATTATCGGCGAATAGCAGACCGGTTTTCGACAAGGCAGGTCGACAATAGATCAGCTTTTTACAGTAAAGCAAATCCTTAATAAAGCTTGGGAACACGATATTGATGTTCACAATATATTTGTCGACTTCAAACAGGCTTACGACTCCATAAATAGAAGCCGGTTATATAACATCATGGAAAGCTTCAATATTCCCTCGAAATATATCCGACTAGTAAAAGCAACGATGGACTCCACAATAGCAACTGTACGCATACAGTACGAATTAACTGACAGCTTCGAAATAGTTCAAGGGCTGAAACAAGGTGATGGACTAGCTCCAACACTGTTCAATCTGGCCCTTGAATATGTCATCAGAAAGCTGAATGTCGGAAGAGCCAATCTCCTAACAAAAAAATCTGTCCAGCTCGCCGCATATGCGGATGACATTAACCTCATGTCCCGCAGAGTGGATGATGCAGCAAAAACATATTCGCAGCTGAAAAAAACGGCCAAGGAGATTGGACTTGAAATAAATACACAGAAGACAAAAATACTAACACAGACGCGGACAAAGCGAACAAGAAATCAAATCAAAGTAGAGGATGACATTGAAACAGTGAAGAGTTTTACTTATCTGGAAGTCGAAATGAATACGGAGGGAACAGAAGAGGCCGAAACTCAGAAGAGAATAATGAAGGGAAATAAAGCCTATTTTTCCCTGATTAACATATTCCGCTTCAAGACGGTACATCGAAAATCGAAACTTAAGGTCTATAAAACTATCATCAGACCTATAGTATGCTATGGATGCGAGACATGGGTTTTGACAGAAAGCACTAAACGAAGATTAGAGGTTTTCGAGAGAAAAATCCTAAGGAAGATCTTTGGACCCATCACTCAAAATGGGATGTGGAAATCTAGATATAACCATGAACTCTACTAAATGTTCAAAGAAGCACCTATTGCAGAGTTCGCTAGAGTACAAAGGCTTCGATGGGCTGGTCATGTGGTACGGATGGATGCCGACAGATTGCCGAGAAAGGCCTTAAATGGTAAAATGTAGGGCAGAAGACCAAAGGGAAGACCACGTAATAGATGGGAGAACGAAGTCACAGCAGATGCGCACAACTTACTGAACGTCAGGGCTTGGAGACGAGTGGCGCGGGATCGCCTTTGTTGGAGGCAGAAGTTACAGGAGGCCAAGGCTCAATTTGGGCTTTAGCGCCATTGGAAGAAGAATATTTATATTTTGACAAGGTTTTCGCTGGTTGACGAACCGAAAAGCCTTGTTACTTTTCTTGCCGGATCTTGGCCTCCGTTCTCCATGATCAGTAAGATTTTGTTGATTATTTATCATGCCATGATAACTATACTAGAGATATCCATTGGATCTTTACTGTAGTGGTTTCTAGTTGCCTGCTACATCCCAATGCCGTTGACTAATATATTAGCTCTTCCGCCTTTGAGGTCGATTTCTCAGCCTCAGAACAATGAGTTGCCCTACCACCTGTCAGCTCATCCACCTTCAGCTGTTGGCCAACAACTGGGAGATTACTTATACCGGTAATCTTTTGGTAAATACTTTTGGTAAATCTTTCGGTAAATATTTCGGTAAACGCAATACGTAGAATTAATTGCAGGAAGTATTGCATTTGTAACAATATGATTTATGACTTCTTCCAAATAAACAAGTTTCGGCATGTTTTTAAAATACCTTATGTACATACAAATCAAACAAGCATATGTGCTTGATATGGACGTGTACGAACTCATCACTTATAGCTCTCTCTAAAATTATTAGAGCCACCGAAATATAGTAAACTGATCACTGGCATCCTTTGGAGATAGGTAAACTCATCACCGCAGATAGGTAAACTCATCACCGACACTTTTGCACAAAGTTGCTGGTTTCTAAGGTGGAATATTGCCAGCTACCTGGGTCTCTACCGTCTATTCGACCTATCTGAAAATCTAAACGGTTTTGAGATCTGAAAATTTACTTGAATAGGTTTTCGATAATAAATTTATAATGAAAATATTTGAATGAATCAATTTGCCTAATTACAGTCTTCTGGCTTCTATAAACGGTCAAAACCTACTTGAAGAAACATTATCCTGTGAAAACAGAACAGGTACATATAATATGAAAACAGTACAGGTAAACTATGCAGTTTTACCATTGTAGTACCAGTACACCATTGTTTAGTACTGTAGAAACATAGATACAAAAGTGAGGATATTGGGATGACAATGGTAAAAATGGTTGGAAAAATGGGAATAAAACGATTCGCATACATTTGTGGTGAAATGTATATAGCTAGACTGGGATGTCTAAACAGTTACAGCGAAAAGGTACTCATTATATGAGAATAAACACCCAATTCGGTTCACAGGTGGTCGAACGGCAATTACGAAATCAGCCACAAGTATTAATGGAGTTAAAACGTCACTAACTTCTTCGTAGCAACGAATTAATTAAGTATTATCCATTTAATAATCTATGGATGGTAAATAATTGTAAGAAAAATTTTGGAGCATATTGAGCGATATCTAAGTAATATGCATCTGCTTTCGCCAAGTATCGTAAATTATCAAGTATACCAAAAGTAATATTATTTTGTTGCAAATCGTTATTAAACACAAAACATTAATCGCGACCCGCCTTAAGATTCATCTGTTGGATTGCTTGATGCGCTTTCTCATTGTCTTAGGTACAGGTGACATAAAAGGAAAACAATCGTTGCTCATATTTTTTCGAATACAAGAGATTCGTTGTTGTCATGTGTTCTTTCAAAGAATAAGTTGCAATCTTTTGGTGAATGATTTTTGATGGCCTCTCTGATAAGTCCTTCAGTTTTCATCTTGCAGGAGTTGCTGATGACTTAATGGCTTAGTTAGACTAATATAATTATAGAAATATAAACGCATAGTGGTCATTTTTAGACAACAGGACTTTATTTTATGAAATAAAGTCTTCTTTAGTTTTAAAATTGTAATAAGTTTTTATTTCATTAACCTCTTAATTCATATTTTAACGTTTCATGTGAAAAATTAGTTGATTAAAAAATAAAAAAAATGATCCATTTTTATGGTTAAGTCAAAAAATATTTGGATCTTTATCTGTCATTGCAAAACTCAAGAGTCAAGTTACAATTCTATACAGAAATTAGTTATTTATATAAAATGATTTTCCAATCCTGGCACTTTAAATTATTACTAAAAATATGTAGCAAGATAAATGTAGAGTACCTATTTCTTAACAAACTTTAAAGAACAATATTGACATACATTTTTATTTAGATTTAAACTTTTAGATATGCAAGGTGTTTCACTCTGTTAACTATGTTTGACTCAATTAAGTGGTCTATCACCAAATATTATTTTCGGCTATACAAGATGTTACATGTGGCATGATTTAGGTAGTTTTTAATAAAACATTATTTTCAATATTACACCGATTCGCACTTATTATTATTACCAGACTTTTTTCAAATCTATAATGCATATTGATTATATCTAACAGTGTTGTAAATATTATTTTTCTTATTCTTATTCCGTTTGTCCACAAAAGCAATTCGATTTTACATTCTTTCGCAATTGAAATTTGGAATTATTGATATCTATCATTTTTCGTCCACATTCACTAAAAACGTAATGAGCAGCTCACTATCCATGTTAAAGAAACAAAGGCAAATGAAGAGAAATTTTTCTTTTCGTACAGTTTAAGGTAGCTATCAATAGAATTTTGGGAAAATTCTCAAATGATAAGCAATAAACTACATTTGCATTTACTACATCTATTTTAGATTTATTCTGTCAAATTACCAAATCTTACCGGTTTGCAAGGTGTTTATGGTCTATACCTGCCACAGGTTGTAGGTAGTCCAGTGATGAGTTTACCAATCTCTCGGGAGAGTATTTATGGTAATTGGTGATGAGTTTACGTGTACCCCTTGATATTACTAATACAAAATCTATTCAATAGCACCTAAACTAGTGTCACAGTCAATGTACAACTAACTAAAAATTAAAAGTCAGTCAGAGTAATATGCTAGTATATGGTTAATGTCTATATTGAATTTATAATGCGGAAGGCCATTTTTGAATCGAACATATGCAGTATCGCTAACAGCATTAACAAGATATGTAAGTTGAGATATGCCAATGACTACTATTTTTGGTAATTTGAACGTGGTTTCTAATGAACTATTAGATACGATTAACATAATCAGTACAACCGCGGATTTTAATGTTAATGCACCAAAAACAAGGATCATGACAAAAAGCGAACCCATTTGTCTGTGTAGGATTTTTAATAAACAATTATGAAGGACAACAAAATCATTTTCCTAAGAAGCTTGGTTTTTTAAATTATTTTCAATTTTGTTTAATAATAAATAATTAGGTATATCCTCTTATTATATATATATATATATATATATATATATATATATATATATATATATATATATATATAAATATTATTCTCTTAAAACTATATAGGCACCGGAACCTGTTGAAGAATGGAATGGTATTAGAGATGCCACAAAAGATGGACAGCCTAGCTACCAATGGGATGACATTAACAATAAAATTATTGGTTCTGAAGACTGTCTACACCTAGGTATCCACACAAAAAAAGTAAGTGATTATAAATTTTTATTTACTTTTTATTTAAACTATTACATTTCTATTTTTATTACATTATTATATTTTAAATTACAAAAAACTAATAAAAGAATTAAGATAATAATGACAATTTATCTGGCATTTCAATACCAATTTCATTTATACCAAATATTGCCAGTTTTCTAAAAGTATCTCTTTATTTGTCTACCCTTTGCTTTTCTTTTACAATTATTATATCTCTCTATAGAATAAATTTTCTTGTAAGTTTTATTTAACGTATAATTTTGATAAATTTTTAAATTGTTTTTCTTAATATTGTTCTGAAGCTATTTTCTTGTGGCATTGTAAATTAATTACTATTTATAACTGGGAATAAGCCACAATTAAAGATAAAAAATACGTTTATTGACGTTTCAATTTCCAATTCGGAAATCGTTCTCAAAATACAAACAGTAAATTAAACAAATTTTGTTTTTTGTTACATAGTGAGATTAATTTTAATTTACTGTTTGTATTTTGAGAACGATTTCCGAATTGGAAATTGAAACGTCAATAAACGTATTTTTTATCTTTAATTGTGGCTTATTCCCAGTTATAAATAGTAATTGTTTTTCTTATTAAGACCGAAAAACATTATGCCATAATAACGTATTTTTCTAGTTATATTATGATTTCCATTTTATTTAATTATTAAACATATTATTTTAAGCTTCCATCTGAAGACTCTTTTCTTAGACCAGTAATGGTGTGGATACATGGTGGAGGATTCGCCTTTGGTTCAAACAGTTCGACTGAAAGTGGACCCGAATACCTGATGCTTGAAGACATAGTATTGGTATCTGTTAATTATCGTCTAGGATTCTTAGGTTGTCTGCATTTTGAAGATACATCCTTGAAGGTGCCCGGCAACGCATCACTGAAAGACCAATTGTTAGCTTTGAGATGGGTTCAAAAGAATATTCATAATTTTAACGGTGATCCTAACAATGTCACAATTTTTGGGGAAAGCGCTGGAGGTGCTAGTGTTCATTATCATATGCTAAATCCGTCATCCAAAGGCATGTTTCATAAAGCCATTCTACAAAGCGGTTGCACCTTTTGTCCTTGGGCGAGAGTGACGGAACAAAACGTTGGCCTTAAATTCGCCCAAATTGTTGATCAAAACATTCAAAATGAAAAAGGAGCACTAGAGATATTACGAAGTTTGACCGCTACAGAACTACTTGAGGCACAACGAAAGTTTATTGCAGTAAGTAACATAAATACCCTATTAATTAAACCTACAGGAAAGGACTGTTAGGGAAAATTTTAATTAATATACGTTTTTAAAATATAAATTGTATGCGATAAACTTAAATTTTTTTTTTACAAAAAAAAAATTCTGTAATTATGGCCTTCATTGCACTTGCGACTTTGATGCGAGATGAATTAAATTGCGTATCTAAGTTAAAAAATGTTTTTGTCTAGAATGTTTGTTATTTCATACGATTATTTTTTTTTTTTTCGAGTTTTCTGTTTCTGGTCCAATATCAAAAATCTGATGTTAGCTCTGAACTATGCTTATATTTCGTTTTTTTCTGGCTAGAATTTTCTTTGATATAGGGTAGAACAACTAAATGAAATAAATTGGATAATAAATAAATGGGGGCGTATTAAAAATAAGCTTGAATAAGTCGATTGGTATTTTTAGTTAGGTATATTTTGCAAGAAAATCTTTTTATACAGGGTGGGTCAGGATCAGATTATGCCGGATATATTTCATGTACAATATCCTCTACCTATTTTTAACTGTTTATAAAATTTTAGGTGTTTTTAGATTTACTGTAAAATTTGCACACACTCAATTCTTGTTTTTCATACTGATCTTGATAATGGCAAAGTAAGCAAAAACTATTTCAGCTTTTTCCTTTACTGAAATGAAATAACAATAATATTTTTTATAATAGTTTTATTTATACTAGTCTAAAACGTCTGATAGTTGGAAGAGTCCGTTTATGCAGAGGGCAAGCCCGTTATACAACACGTACAATTTACGATTCACGTTACGATTTACGACGAACAACTAATGTTTGTATTTTGAGAACGATTTCTGAAGTGGAAACTGAAACGTGAATAAACGCATTTTAACCTTTATTTGTGGCTTATTCCCATTTAAATAGTAATTAGATATACATAATGTTCAACATTTTCTTTGGTATGATTTTGTATTGTTATATTTGACTGGTCTCGGCTCAGTATTTTTGTTTTACTGTAGTTCATTTTTAAGCCTACCGCTCCTGAAAACTATGTCATCTGCGAATCTCAAGTAAATTAAGTTATATTCGTTGACGTTGATACCCTTGTTGTTTCATTCTAGTTTTTTAAAAAATGTCTTCTAGAGCTAGGGTAAATAGTTTGGGAGAGATGGTTTCTCCTTGTCTTACTCCCCGTTGTAGTCTTATGGGATTAGTTTTTGTGCTTTCGTCCAGCTTTATCTGCATGGTGGCATTTTTATATATGTTTTTAATTATGTTATTATATCTTGAATCTATTCGCTCCGTGCGTGACCATGGTAGGGGTACATTGAAACGATGCCAGCGTGCGTAGCGGCGAAATATGACAAAATTGGAATATTGGACAAAATATTTTTACCCATAAATTTTATCAAAAATGTGTGCAAATACATGTTGCGTATTTAATTGTGATAATAATAGCAAAAACAGTGAGTGTAGTTTTTACAGGTTCCCAAAGATTACTTATAAATGAGAGAAAAGAAAAAAAAAGTTCGTGCTATTAAAATGAAAAAGTAAAAATCACATAATTTCATTTTTATGCAATTGAAATAGGAAAAATTTAAATAATTTACCTTGAATTATATTTCATAAGGCTTCAAGCTAACTGCAGATGACTTTAGCTTTAATATCATAACTTTTACTATTATTGTTTTTAATTATATGCTCTTTTGTGTGAAAAACTTGATTTGCCAGTACTAGATTTTTCCCTTTCTTTTCCGTTTGGAGTTGAAAAGATATATTATGATGAATTTTGAGAAACCCAGTTTTGAATACTACATTTATTTTGTACATAAACTGAAAAAATATAGTTAAAAAACTAATTTATTAATAATTGTCAATTTTGCATGTATTTATCAATGTCAAACATATGTCATATGTTTAACCTGAAAATTGGGACTCCAAAATTGTCAGATGAAGGCGGTAGGTGTCGCGTCAGTCACGCACGGAGCGAATAGGTGCATTTTCTAGAGATTCAAGCACTGCCCATAATTCGATGAAATCGAATGCTTTATGGAAATCAACTAACGTCGTATTTAATTGGAACATTATACACGGTGCATTTTTCTATTGGTGTTCTTACGGTGTGCAAGTGGTCTATGGTACTAAAATGTTTTCTGAATCCAGTCCGTTCGATATGTTGATAGAAATCAAGCTTATGTGTTAGGCGGTTAGTTATGATTTTAGTTAGTAATTTATACAGATGTGATAGCAAGGACATTGGTCGGTATTTTTCGATGTTTGCTTTGTCTCCTTTCTTGAATAGTAGAATGACTTTGGAGTTATACCATTCATGAGGAATCTGTCATTCATCAATTACTTTATTAAATATAATACTTAGTACCTGTTCCATTGTTCTGCTATCAATTTTCAACATATCAACTGTAATTTTATCCTCTCTCGGACATATATTCGTTTTTAGTTGATTCAGGGCCATTCTTATTTCATATGTCCGATATTTCTTCTGATCCGCTGTTAATTATTGTTCGTTTACCACATCGTTGCTGTGGTTGTATATTTACAGTTTGTTTCACGAAAAATGGTCGAGTGCTTAATGGTTACCTGAGTTTATCCTATTGGGTATACAGGAGTCTCTCAATAAACTACCGAAGTACACAGGGTCACACTTTAAAAAGTTTGTTATGTAATTATATTTCATTGGTAAAATTCATTATATAATTCATTGGTTTTAAAGTTTTAGCTGTGTAATACACGATTGTAAAAATTTATTAAATTATTTCATATAGTATTTTCAGATTGTTCAAGTGAATATACTTGATAATTGAACAATTTTTAACATGAAGAAAGTAGTTTTTTTTGTTCTACGTGAATAATTGTAGTATATGGATCCAAACTGAGAAAGGTACTTTCTTTCACACTTTTTACAGGCTTAGGACTGTCAGCAAAAAACTGGCGTGTTTAAAAGTTTTTGCTCTTCCTAATCACAAGGATCTACAGACCGAGAATTTGGTATACAAATTCCACGGCTTCGCGCAATCGTACTTGTAAGTTCGTATAGTCGGCTGGAGTTACAATTTGCCAAATTTAAATTTAATCGTTTCTACTCATTCATATTAATATTATAATGTATAATATATTAAAGTTTTTAATATTGGTAATATTATTAAAGCTTTTAATACTATTTTTTAATATTAATAATAATATTAAGTAATTAAATATTGCGCCTTGCTTAAAAAAAGTACGAGATAAATAACTCGTTTTTTATATGAAAGTGCAATTTTCTTGCAAATGCCTTGAGAGGAGAAATTTCCAATATACCTAACACCAACCAAAAGACAAAAATATTAACTAAGTACATGCAATCATTCTCACTGCTTAACGTATTTTCATGGAAATCAACCGCTGTGCTGACTAGTATTTTTTTTTAAATTGTGATGAATAAATAAAGTATATATTAAATAAAGGGTATTTTAAATAAATTTGTAATATTTTATGCGAAAAGAAGAAAAGACTCAGTTCCGAGTCGTGAGCGTATTCCTTATATTTTCTTTAATTGTGTTAAGCTACTCGGATGTGAGTCGTTGTTATAATTATTCAAAAAAATGAATTTACAATATTTTTTATTAAATCAAATGAGAAATGTTATAGCAAATTTAGAACTAAGGAAAAAAACAAATTTTTATTTCCTAAATAGCAAATTGTTTCTGAACACTTAAGATTAAAACTTCCAAATAAAATTTGGATAATATTGTACAGGCTTTTATATACTGAAATTAAATTAAAAAAGAACCTGAAAAATTAGCAAATTTAAATATATCTCGAAAACAAAATACGATCTGGAAAAAGAATACCGGAAATGTTTAATTTTTTTGAGCTCTTCGATTGTGTAGTACCTTTAATTTCAGTTTTTTTCAACAATACTCGAGTATTCCAATTTAGTACTCTCAGCCTTATAAAAATTTCCAAGAAATTAATATCGGATGAAGTTTCAACAAGCGAAATGAAAATCCTAATAGTAAAACAGCATTATGACCAGGTACAATATCTGACTGTTATGCAAATTAGTAGGTAATTAGAATTAGAAAGTCAGTATGGGCAAAACCAGCTTATTCAAATTATAGGTACCTACCTTTAGTCTTGTATTGAAGGATTTTAATTTATTACCCTTAGCATACGTAAAGATATAAAAAACGAGTTATATTTATCTCGTACTTTTTTTAAGTAAAGCGCAATATTTAATTACTTAATATTATTATTAATATTAAAAAATAGTATTAAAAGCTTTAATAATATTACCAATATTAAAATCTTTAATATATTATACATTATAATATTAATATGAATGAGTAGATACGGTTACATTTAAATTTGGCAAATTGTAACTCCAGCCGACTATACGAACTTACGAGTACGATTGCGCGAAGCCGTGGAATTTGTATACCAAATTCTCGGTCTGTAGATCCTTGTTTCCTAATCGGATATCGTTGAAAATGTACAGTAATAATAGTTCTATTTACAGTATATACATACAAACGAATACATAATGTACAAAAAATAGATGAATTGAAAAAAAAAATAGGTATAGAAAAATATATACAAGTTAATATTTAAAAAAAATAGCCACAATAACCAAAATATATTTATGAATTTCTAAATACCTAATTCTGCTTTGCTGTCGCTATTCTCTTCAAGATTAATAACAAATGGTTTAATTATGTGATTCAAAGTAACATACGAATTTTCTACGTTCATTACATGGCGTACTAAATTTTTCCAAATTTCTGGGGAGATATCATCAACGCATTTCCTTATTAATTCGACTACACTACCACTTAAAATCGGAGAAACATTTTGTGACCTAACATTTGATTTTAGTTGGTGCCAATGGGTTATGGGATTAAATAAACAATAGTAGGGCGGAAGCCGTAACACTGTATGTCCTGAGAAAATGCGTCACAAACATATGCTTTTTTAATAGAAAATGATTTTAACACTCCTAACAGTTCATTTTTAAATA